AAAACTATTTTTTCTATATCTGTGAAAAATGATGATTTAATAGGGATTGCATTGACTCTGTAGGTCACTTTGGGTAGCATAGACATTTTAAACAATGTTGATTCTGGCGACCCATGAGGATAGTATATTCTTCCACCTGTTTACATCCTCTGCTATTTCTTTCCTCCATGCATTTGTTAATTAGCTTGATTTAGCCATCCCACAATGCATACACATATTATAACATGTTGCAGGGGATAAATAATATATAATTATGTCAATTAAAATTAATTAGATTTAATGCCACATAGTTTTCACTAGGGGGTCCACATGCATATGGGATATTTAAGCACATTAACATAATAACTTGAATCTTGGTGTTCCCTCCTTTTAAAAATTAAATCCCCACTCCTTGCCTCTTAAGTATAGAATGAGGATTAACTCTCTGTTGTATCAAAGTCTTAAAATCACGCAGTGAAATAAGAACTAGACCTTTGTGGATAAGAAAATTCCTCCAAGTGATGTCAGAGCTGATGGGTTTTCCTTTAATGGAACATGTTCAGAAAGAGAGAAATCATGTCAATAAACCAAGAAGAGGCTTGGATGTCATACTAGATCTGCTACTGATTCTTAGTGGCCTTGAGTGGTGTATTTACATACTCCCTGCCTGAGGTTCTCATCTCTATAAAAAGAATGGTGGGACGTGATGCACTCATCTGTAGGAATAGAAAGGTGATGTAAAGGTAACATGTGGTAATGAACATGACAGTGTTTTGTGGGGTATCCAGTACCTTTCTTGGAGACCTTACTGTGTCAGGCACTGGGCTCAGACCTGTGTAAGGACAAACATATTCATTCTTCAGAACTATCCTGGGGGATGTTGTTTGACCCACTGCAAAGGTGCAAAGACTGAGGGCTAGAAAACTTGAAAGCTTAATCTTAAAGGCCACCCAGCTAGTCAAATTGCAGAGGAAAGATTTGAACTGACTGCAACTCCCATCCTCTGTCCACTGCCCAGGAAAGCCCAACAAGGTAAAAAGCAAAATTTTTTTCAAAATGAGGAAAACACATCCAAGAAGTGAATTACTCAGTAACAGAAATGAGCTTGCAGACGAGCAGTGGCATCCTTTCGCTTTAAGGGAGTGAGAGAGAAGTTAATAGCTGAGCACATGTGATCTGGGTTAAGACATAATTCATCACAATTTTAGGCAAGGCAGTTGAGACAGGGAAAAAAACCACAGAAGCCACGAATAATTGATGGCCCTTAGCATCTTCCTTGAGGTCTCAGAGACCTCATAAATCTTTACCCAAAATGAATTTCTTGTTTCCTTAGTGTAGGCAATTTGTGGTCCTGTTCATCCATTTTTCCAACAAACCCAAAGCAATGGGGACATAGGTGAATTTCAAGTTTTATATTTTTGCCTTCATATTCCAAAAGTGGGTCTGAACTATTATAAAAAGCCTTTCTGTCAAATAGATATCCCATCCACAAAGAAGCGGTGTTCAAAATGCAGAATGTTCCAGGCATTTGGCTATATTCATCTAAATCCAAACTTCAGGGAGAGGTGATACTATTAAAATGGAAATGGTACACGTCTGCATGCTTTGGTAACTTGTTTTGTGAAATTAAATAGATTTCCAGAAACAGTCAAGCACTGGGGAGATTGAGTTATTGTTTAAATCTGAGATAAAAAAAAAAAAGACGCCCACTTTCAAAAGGAAAAGAACTGTGAAAAACCTTGTATCTTGAAAGATGAATATGAGTCACAAGAATGAGACAATCTTACCCTTGAGGGGGAGGAAAGGGCTTTTCCTTTCAGGGCTGGAGATGAAACATTTAAAAATAAGAATTCAAAGCTCCAAGTCTCTTGCAGGGCTTTTTAACTCAGAATAGAATTTATTAGCCTGACAAATTGGTTTTCACAGATGCCGTGATTTGAAAACCAAATATAGTGTTTGGCTGATAACCCCACAGAGGCCACACATCTTGCTGAAGTGCCTGAGAGCCATGTCCCCTGTGTTTGTTTATACAGGTGACAGAGGACACAGAAGGGGGGCCGCCTCCCAGGTGAGGCAGTCTACCACCCTGCACAGGTGTTGCCATTTCGGGGAGGTTTGGATTGTCTTGGCAGCTCTGGACTGGGAACTTCTTGAGTTCAGCGCCTCTTATGTCTCCTGACCAAAGGGAGGAACAAAAGCAGGTGTGAGATGGAGTGGAAGCCAGGACTCAAAATATAGACTTCCCGGCCATATAATTGTGGAGCTGTCATTTCTCTTATGTTTCACCTTCTCAGGAGGCCACCTGCTCAGGTTCTAGAGTCAGGCATACCTGGGCTTGAACCTATCTCTACGATGTCCTGGGTGTCCTCTCTGAGCCTCAGTTTCCCTATCTGTGAAATAAAGATGATGATAATATCACAGTCAGAGTTCTCCAGGGAAATCCTACGTACAGGATGTGTGTGTGTGTGTGTACATATGTCCAGAGGGAGAATGATTATAAGGAATTGGCTCATGCGATTACGGAGACTGGCAAGTGCAAAGTCTGCAGGGGGAAGAGTTAGGAAAGCTGAGTTCAAGTCCAGAGGAGTCTGCTACAGAGCCAGGAAGAGCCGATGTTTCCGATGAAGTCTGAAAGCAGTCTTTGGAGAACTCCCTCCTGCCGGAGGTGGGTCTGTTTGTCCTGTTCAGGCCTGAGTTGATGAGGCCCACCCAGGTTATGGAGGGCTGTCTGCTTTCATCAAAATCCACCCATTTTAATTGTTCATCTCATCTGAAACACCCTCCCAGAAGTACCCAGAGTACTGTTTGCCCAAATACCCAGAGTCACTCTGTGGCCCAGCCAAGCTGACACACCAGATCAACCGGCACACTCATGGGACGGCCTCCCATAAGAAATGAGGGCTATTTGTGAAGCGTTTCCCAAATAGCCACTATTATTCCTTCACGTGCAGCGTGGTGACAAAGTCAGGGGTCACTTCGGTTCCCTCTGTTTGTCAACGCATTTCCAAAATAGCCCCTTCTCCTCAATATCACCCCATAGATTCTCATTCACTGTTTCTTGATAAGATAAACATTTCCAATCCGGTGAGCGGACAGTTGCATGTACATTTCACTCCCTGAGGGCTCCTTTGTGATGTCACTTCTGAGGCCATGAAATCATAAAAGTGGCTTCCAAATCTCCTGGCCCCAAGGATCTTTCTATTTAAGGATTTTCTTTTTGCATCTGTACCTGTAACTGGCTCCATAAGTAAGAAAAGTTTTTGTTTTTTTTTTTTTTTACAGGTTTTTATTTGTTTGCTTTTTTGTGGTTTTCGTTTTTGTTTTGTAGTTCTCTTATGTTTCAAGTTCCCAGGCCAGTAAGATTTGCTGACCGGAACTTTGTAATTTTCTGCTGCACTGATGAATTCCCTTTTGAGTTTCTTTCCCCGAAATGGCAGAACCTCCTTGCAGCCACGAGATATCTACAAAGCCTACAGCCCCTGTTTGTCCAGAGAAAACAAGATAAGTGATACCCCGCATAGATTGTGCCCAAGGACCCACTGAGCAGCCTACTCCCTGCATCCCACCTGTGCACAAGGCTGAGACAATGACCATATTAACCCGTAGCTCATTATACTCCTAAAATCCACCCCCAGGGACTTCTCCACTATTTTTGATTGTGCCATGTATGTGCTAGCATGATTTCTCACTGTGCCTGCGTGCCCTGCGCTCCGCCCCAAACATGCAATGATGCTCACTCCCTTTATTCATTCACCTCCAGATAAACCCCTGACCCCTTTGGCGGGGGAGGCAGACGAGGTGTATTAAGTGATAGCAATTTCAAAGACTGGTTTCCTGCCATCTGAACTGGGGTGTTTTGACTCAGTTGCAGACGTAGCCAGGTAGAAACTAGTCACTAAGTCAGGACATAGGAGATACGAGGAGGACAAAGCCAGAGGAAAACACTCCACAGCAATCTTCACCAAGCTGATACCCAACCATCCTCCAACCATCCTCCAAAGAGGTTTGTTTGCTAAGAACCTAGACTGTCTGGTGGGGCACACAACAAAGAAATCTCATTGCACAACAAAATGAAAACAAAAGCTGTCATGTCATGTCAACCAAAACCAAAAACAAAAAAACTTCAGTGTGCTTCAATCTCCAGATTAAAAGTAAAAAGCTTCTTACATTAAATGACAAACATCAGTGTTTAATGCTTTTCCCATGAGATTAGGAATTCTATCATCCCCAGGAAGGCTAATATTCTTTTTTAGTACACAAATGTTGGGAGAATCTCAGCACAAAGACCAAACAGTTAAGAGAGCTGTCGTTAGAGAGTCTTAGCCCGTAGGAGAGCGTGTGCTCCAGGGAGCTTAAACAGAAGTTTCAATCCAGCTAATATTTTATTTTAGATTTGTTTTCATCCAGTGTTAAAAATCAATTTTACAAATGCTGAATTTTCCAGCTACCATTTTGCCAAGGGACCAGTGTTAATGAGTAAAAGAAATAGTCGGGGGAAATGTTGCTTTTGATTTAATTTTAACTGAAAAGAAAGAAGCATTGGGTTGTGTAAAGAAAATGAAGATCACTTTTTCTTTAAGTCTCATGTTGAATTAATTGTACTTCACGGCTTACGCACATCTTTGATCCGCGCAAGGCGGCATGGTTGAATACTGGTTTATTCTTTTTTTGTACTTGTTCTCCCATTCCATTCCCCTATCCCACCCTTCACAGACCACCACCCTAACGTTTTTGATATACATCCTTAAATCTGTAGTTATTCTTTTAATATGCATAGTGTTATCTGTGTGTACATTTAATTCACATAAGTTCTATTTTGCTAATATAGAAACACTTTGCTTGGTCGGTTGGATGGTCGGTTCCACTTAGTACTGTGTGTTTAAGATTATTTATCTATGTTGCTGTGGTGCTTCTGTTTTGTTTTGTTTTTTTTTTTGAAAGCTTTGTTGCTTCCAATGGCTGCGTGTCATTTTAGTGTGCATTCCACGACATCATACTTTTTTGTCTCCACTACCTTACAGTGACAAGCAAGTAGGCTGCATCCCTCCAGCGCCACTAAATGCTGCAATGAGTGTCCTCATGGGTTTGCTTTCACAGCAGACATTGAACGTTTCTCTGGGCTATGGATGCATTAGTGGATTCCCAAGGCATGGGACATATGCGTGCATAATTGATTTGACTGACTTCAGCCAGATTGTTCTGCAGTGGCTTGCACCAGGCTACACACCCGCCCTCAGTACATGGGGCTGGAAGATACTGGGCTATAAGGACAATGGACACCTTCCAGCTTCTGTTTACTGCTTGTTTGCTAACTGCAAGGCATTGTGAGTACATTATGGGATGCAGAAGAAAAAGACAAAGAACGCGGAAAACCGGAGTCTCTCAGCTAGGACCCAGAATAGGTTAGAGCCTATCAGGGGCAGGATGAAGTATGAATCACTGTGGGGGTGGATGCATGACCAGTGTGTGAACAACCAAGTCATAAAAAAGGGGACTAACACACAAAGGAGGGTCCCTGCCCAGAGAAGAGGCCACTGCGATGGCACTCTGGGGGCTCGGACCCTAGCTCGAGCTAGACAATAAAACTCCTTTTGATAACTACAGCCTCGGTGACTCTGTCTCTCTGTCCTGCGGCCTTGTGAATCTCGAATATAACAGGGCTTCTTGTTTCTTCTCATTTCCACCAATTGACTGTTTTATGGGGTGGGGGAGGATTCTGACGGGTGTGACCTTTTGTTTTATTTTGCATTTCTCTTTAAACTTTATGATAAAATGATCACTTTTCTTCAGAATTTTTCTTTAGGTAAGATATAAAGAGTTTAAAGAACAGACTTACATGTAGTCTAGATTTTAGTTGTAAACCAGATGTAAGCTGAAAACACCCTGTACTTGGAGATTGAATTGTACTTCACCGAAGCCTCTCTGCCTGTGGGAATTCCAATAGATTCTCCAAGATTCTGGTGAATTTCCAGGGGATTTCACTCTCATGGCTTTAGGGCCTGCACCCCAAGAATTATCTCATCTCCTGCCATCATCCTCGGCTTTCTATCAGCATCAGCAATGGCATGGAAATTGGCGCCCAGTCCTTGACTTTGTGAGGCACTCATACATGTAGCAGACTTGGGTCTAAGTGCAGAGGAATAGAATATATTTACATTAGAATAGAATAACATAAGTAACTTAAAATAGTAGCATTCTCTTAAAAGTACATTTCTGATAAAAATCTAAAATGATATAGTGACTCTGAAAAACAGAATTTGGCAGGTTTTTTAAAAAAATAAAACCAGAGGGGGGCGGGTATATACATACATAATGAGTGAGATGTGCACCATCTGGGGGATGGTCATGCTGGAAACTCAGACTTGGGGTGGGAGGGGGGGAAAGGGCATTTATTGAAACCTTAAAATTTGTACCCCCATAATATGCCAAAATAAAAAAAATAAAAAATAAAATAAAACCAAATAGGCAGATACCAGAAAACTTTTCAATTTCCCTCTTGGTATTTATCCCAGAGAAATGAACCATACAAAAACCTGTACATAAATGTTGGTGGCAGCTTTATTCATAATATGCAAAAACTGGAAGTAACCCAGATCCCTAAACCAAGATATGCAAGTGGGACAGAGCAGAAAGGAGGGGTTGATGCCTGTAGCGAAAGGCAGGGAATGAATGGTTAAGGGTTAAAAGGTGAATTATTTAAAAAAAAACATCCACACCAAGGAGTACTATTCAGAAATACAAAGGAACAAACTATTGATACATGTTACAACTTAGATGAATCTCCAAGTAATTGTACTGAATGAAAAAAAGCCAGTCTCCAAAGGTTATATAGCATATGATTCCATTTATACAACATTCTTGAAAGGACAAAAGGATAGAAATAGAGAATGGATTTGCAGTTGCCAGAGGTTAGGGATTGTGGGGTGTGGGGTGTGAGAGAGCCGGGTGTGGTTATAAAAAGCAATATATGGAATCTTTGTGGGGATGGAACTGTTTTGTACCTTGACTATGAAGGTCGATATATAAATCCATGTGTGATAAAATTGCATAGAACTAAATACACGCATACACACGAGTACAAGTAAAACTGGGAAACCCTGAATAAGATCAGTGGGTTATATCAATGTCAATATCCTGGTTGTGATTTTGTACAATTTTTTTCTGTTTTTTTTTAATTTTATAAATTTTATTCTATGAGTTTTTTATAAGTTTTTTTAAACATTTTTTTATTTGACAAGTTTTATAAGATATTACCACTGGAGAAGGGTAAAAGGCACCCAAGATCTCTTTGCCCCATTTCTTACAATTGCATGTGAAAAGTCAATTATCATAAAATAAGAAATTTAATTTTCTTTTAAAAAAGAATACTTGAGCCATCCTGACACCAAGAATTACTCATCAGCTGCCTTTCTCTACAGATTTCAACCCATTCTCTAGTCTTTGCTTTTCTGCTCTCTCACTCTGAGATTCTGGTTTGGGATCTCTGTGTTTTCTTGTGTCCTTCCAACCTGTACGTACTCTCACGACCCAGCTTCTGCACTCAGAGCAGATTACCAGGCACTTTGCTAAGCAGTCAGAACCCGGATGCTGGCTCCTGCAAGCAGTTTCTGCCTTCCCTGGGTTGCAGTCAACATAACGAGACCTCTTACACCAGATCATTGGCTAGCAACAAACGTTTGCATAAAAATTTGGGGGAGAAATGCAGAGGAGGATACACAGTGTACATTCCAAGAATCCACCCTAGACATCTCTTCCTAATTCTCTTTTCTCCTTCTTAAAACCTCCAGGTCTCCCCTCTGCTCGCCTTGCACCCAAAGCACTGCTGCTCTCAGCACTGCCTGTCCCTCCCTGGCGAGTAAAACCCACCCTGCCTCCCTCCTCCCTCCCTTTCTCCCTGATCAACTGTCCTCTGCGGCCCAATTTAACCTTCTTCCAGTTTCCAAAAGACAAAGCTGATGAGGGCACCCAGATGTCAAAGAATTTAGAGATCGAAGACATTTATTCTCTTTTAAGGAAGGCTTAGGAGTGATAAGACTTTCATCAGACTCACTTTGTATTGTTCCGGAGGGAAGTCAGGTAGAAATTAGAGACGGCTAGATTTTGACTGAGTAGGGGGGATTCATTCTAACAAAGATGACTGCCCGGTCCACCTCTTGATAATGGACAAGATCTGCCTCTGAGAGAGTGAGCTTTCTGCCACTCAGTTTTTAACCAGAGATTAAAAGAATCATTGAGAAGGCGTTGGGAGTATGTGTTACTGCAACAGGAAATTGGCAGGGAGCCAACAAGATGCGTCTAAATGTAGCCTTGGAGTCACTGAATGAGGACAAGAAGAGGGGAATGGAAGCATCAGGTAGCATTTGTCAATGCAGGCTTATCAACTGCCATGTAAGGACCACTCTGATGGGCGGGCGATGGTGATAATAGGGGAGGTGGCAGGCATATATGGGAGTCTCTATACTTTCTGCTCAATTTTGCTGTGAACCTAAAACTTCTCTAAAAAAAAAAAAATACAGTCTATTTTTTAAAAAACTGGATTGTGCCAATGGTCGTATAACTCCTTAACTACTAAAAGTAATTTAATTGTATGTACAATTCATTGGGTTGTGCTGGGCCTGAGCTGGGCCACAGCTGGCAGGTCAAGGCCGGGGAGCAGGAACTCACTGGCCTGCGCTGAGAAGCACGACTTGCTGGTGGCCGAGTGACACTGCGTGTCATGCAAGCAAACAGCTGTACCAAAAAACCCAGAAGGGAGAAAGCCCACTAAAACCAGGAAGAGAAGCCCCTTCCAACTGAAAGGGGTCTCCAGCGCCCCCTATAGACAAAGCCCAACGTTGTCCCAGCTGCGTAACGAGAAATGTTTGCAGGGTTCAGCTCCAGGAACACAAAGCAGGGGGACAGAATGGTGGCTTTGGAGCTGAAAGACAATAAATTGGTACCTGGCAAAAACAGCATTCATTCATTCTTCTTCTGATAATTGCACCCCAATTTTTCACGTCTACCTTTTTAGTTCAGAGACTCCGATCAGAGCATCACATCTCACTAGCCATGGTGATTGGTGCAAGGATGATATGTGAGTTGGGCAGAGATGTCTGTCTGTCCACCATCTATTTGTCTGTCTAAGCTTATACTGAATCCACAGGCTGAGTCATTTGTTCTTTTTAGCTCGTTGAAGAAAGAAGGGGCAGTGAGGCTCTTGCAGCTGACGGTAGCACACAGAGCCTTCAAATGAAGCCCTTGCAGCAGAAAGCATTATTCAGGAAGTGTTACCCCAGAGGGTGACTTTGTCTAAGCCTTAAAGTCAGCAATCCATGGACTTTTCCATTGCATGAGCCAATAAATTCCCAGCTGAATTAGGTTATTACATTTTCTGTTCCTGGCAACAGAAACAGTCCTGACACACAGTTCCTCAAGTTTTTTACCCATAGTAAGTTTTTTAAAACTCTTAATATGTTTGGTTGCAATTTTTCCCAATAATGATTGGACATGTCCTCTTAAATAGGTATTTGTCCATGTAGGGAATAGCTCCACACAAGCCATTACTAATTTGATACTATATTGATTTCATTCAGAAAATATCGATGGAGTGATTTACACATGCCTTTGTCTCTCTTTTAAAAGGACACTTGTGATTGTGTTTAGAGCCCACCCCAGTATTCCAGAATAATTTCCCCATCTCAAGATCCTTGCTTTGCTCTCATGTGCACACCCTCTAAGGTGACATTGACAATTCCAGACATTAGGACCTGAATATATTTGGGGGCTGTTACTCAGTGCACCATATCCCGTGTTGCATGTTGGAACTGCCAGTCCTCCACAGCACTGGGAGATGTCTGGACACACCATGGGCTACAGGCCCCAGCTACTGATGGCAACGTGTCACTCTCTGCAGTCCACATGGGGACGAGGGGCAGGTCAGTTACACCAGAATGTGGACTCTACGAAGGAATATCAGTGTGAAACTCCAATCCCATGGACTCCTTTTGAACCGGCTAACCGAAATGAAGATGCATCATTTTGCAGGTGGGAGAGGAAGACACTGAGAAATGAAAGGAAAATAATTACCTACACCAAGTAAAGAAAACGACACCCCACCTTTCTCCTCTCAAGTGCCTCGAAATTCAGCTATAATTTATCTGTCCCTTACTTGCCGGTGCTTTGCTCCTTATTATCTCAAACATGCTTAAGGGATTTGTGAACTTTTAACAGAAAAGATTTTTATACTTGTATATTTCAGCCCGTTTCAACTTTCCATCGTGAAACTACCAATTTTCTAGGACAAAGAAGTCCTTGACCGACCTTGCCACGTGGTGTCTCCAGACC